GTGATACCAGCGTTCTGGAGCAAGTTGAAAGACAGATCCAGGGCTCAAACCCAGTGGAAAATGTTTAGGAAAGGAAAGTTTTAAAAAGTCTTCAAGTAAAAAAAAATTGACACTGAAACAAAGAAGCAAGGAGAAATTTTCATAAAAAGAACCACCAAAGTCAACTTTGTAAAAGTAAAAATGAGAATACGTCTCTGGATAACCTTTACTGATTCCAAAACTGAGACAAGAGGCACCTTCATTTTCAATATGGAAGCAAGAGCCTCTTTGTTGCTCTGGGCAACCTGCGGCAACCTGTGGCTGTGATCAGCTCGTATGAAATGGTTTGTGAATATTCATCCCTCCACCAATTAATGCCTTTTCATTTCCTGTTGCTACTGTGATAACTTCCCATTAGTTCTGTGGCTTAAAGCAACACAAATTTATTATTTTACAGTTTGGGAGCTCAGAAGGTGACATGGGTCTTAGTAGAGCTATAAGCGCATGTCAGCAGGGCTGCGCTTTTTTTTTCTGAATGTCCCAGCTTCCAGGGGCCTGAATTCCTTAGCTCATGGCCCCTTCTTCCATCTTCAAAGCCGGCAACTGCCTCACTCCAGCCTCTGTTTCTGTCATCATATCCCCTTCTCTGATTCTGGTTTATCTGTCTCCCTCTTTCACTTATAAGGACGCTTGTAGAATCCAGGATATTCTCCCGACCTCAGGACCCCTCATGTAATCACAACTGCGAAGCCCCTTTGGTCACATATTCGCAGGCTCTGTTGACTATGATGTGGACATTTTGGAGGGCTGTTATCCTGTTTATTCCGGTGCTTTTGCTTATTATGGAATGGAAATAATAAGAAATGGGCTTACATGGCAGCAAGGCAATGTGTGGTGATGGTTCATCCTCAACTGGTGGGGCCAGGCTTCCTAGGTTTGCATGCTGTGTCTCCCAACCGCCAGCCTACTGGTCTCTGTTCATTTCCTCATCCAGCAACAGGATGTTAATCAGACCCACCTCATAGAGTTGCTTTGAGAACCGATTAAGTGCTAGCATATATCAATAACTTCGGATAGTAACTGGCACATAGTAAGTGCTCATTAGAAACTGGCCATTTTTATCCAATAAGTGGGTATTGCATAATCCTTTTGTTCTGCGATTGAATTTGATGATTAATAGCAACATCTGTGTTGTGTGTATGGAGGAATTTGTGTGTTCAGGACAAATACTGAGATGAATATTATTTTAAGTGAAAAAGTTAGACACAAAAGAGTATGTTTTATATCATTCTATTTACAAAGTTGAAGAATTGGGTTGGGCGTGGTGGCTCATGCCTATAATCCCAGCACTTTGGGAGGCCCAGGTGGGCAGGTCACTTGAGGTCAGGCATTCGAGACCAGCCTGGTCAACATGGTGAAAATTTGTCTCTACTAAAAATACAAAAATTAGCCATGCGTGGTGGTGCAGCCTGCTGTCCCAGCTACTTGAGAAGCTGAGGCAGGAGAATTGCTTGAAACTGGGAGGTGGAGGTTGCAGTGAGCTGAGATTGTGCCACTGCACTCCAGCTTGGGCGACAGAGCGAGACTCTGTCTCAAAAAATAATTTAAAGAATGGGACAAACAAATGTATGCTCAGGATGTTGGTTAGCGGAAGAGTTTACATAGCAGGCCTGAGATTGGTATCCCTAGAAAGGTCTGGTTGAAAGGTTAGCTCTTGCCTGGCATCTGGGAACTTGGCTTTCAGAGTATTCTCAGTGAATATTTAATTGATAAGCATGTTTCACCGTGCCTAGACAATATGGTTTATACTGAGTATCTGCCTTGAATTTTGCATGTGGTAGACAAAGCGTGCCTTTATGATCAGCGCCCATTAAAACTTTGGGTACTAAGTCTCTAATGAGCTTCCCTGGTAGACCACAGTTTACACATATAGTCTCCTCTCATTGCTGGGAGAGTGAAATGGGTCTTGCATGATTCCGTTGGGAAAGGACTCTTGGTGCTGGCTCCTGCTTTCCTCTGGACTTTGCTCCCTGCACTTTTCCCCTTTGCTGATTTTGCTTCTTATCTTTTCACTGTAATAAATTATAGCCATGAGTATGACTATGTTCTGAGTCTCGTGAGTCATCCTGGCGAGTCATTGAAACTGGGTGGTCTTGGGCACTTCCAATGCAGATGTTACCTGGATAATAGATTGAAAAAGGACACAAGAAAACCCTCTGTGGAGCTGGGGCTGTTCTCTCTCTTGATCTGGATGGTAGAGGAGTGTGTATATGTAATCATAATTGAGTGGCACACTTGAAAGGATCACTCTATATGTTTTTTTTTTTCTTGAGACAGAATCTTGCTCTGTTGCCCAGGCTGGAGTGCCATGGTTCAATCATAGCTTACTGCAACCTTGAGCTCTTGGGCTCATGTGATCCTCCCACAGCCTCCTGAGTAGCTAGGACTACAGGTGTGTGCCGCTGTGCCTGGCTATTATTTTTATTTTTAGTAGAGACAAGGTCTTGGTATGTTGCCCAGGCTGGTGCTAAACTCCTGAGCTCAAGTGATCCTTCTGCCTCAGCCTCAGCCTCCCAAAATGCTGGGATTATAGGCATAAGCCGTCATGCATGGCCACACTCTATACATTTCAATATATGTATGCTATTTCTCAAGAAATTGATCTGCAAAATCCCAAACAAAACTCACAGTCATTTCTCAATGCAACAGGCATTGATTGACAGCTTACTCTAGACATAGCTAGTAAATATCTTCTGCTCTTATATTCTGTTGGAGAAGGCTCAAACAGCTAAAACAGCGTCCCCTGTATTCAAGGAAATTACCCATAGGCTAATGTCTTCAAACCCCCTGAAGACTGTCCACAAAGTACCTGGGTAAGGATAGTTTTGATGCTCCTTCCGGAGCCCTGGAAGAGAGGCATGCATATCCTGGCAGCTTCTCCCTTTCCATAAGTCCTTTTCCTTTCTCTCACTGTAGAAAAGGAAGACAGACACCCTCACCTGTTTCTAATCATATCATGGTGTATTATCCATGATGTGAAAGCCTCTTGGGTACCAAACTCAGGTCCAATGTGAGTTATCATTTTGGGAAACCCTCATGTCATTATTAATCCAAGTCCCATGTCTAGGACCTGCCTTTCACCTTCTTATGTTGCTCATAGGGACCAGGTTTTGGCTTAGAAGTTGGGTGTCTTAGTCCATGAAGTGATGTTTCCAGTCAAGATAAATTGTAGAATGGAGGGGCAGCACCACCCTCTAAACCAGCACTGCTCTCAAATGGTTTGCTGCTCTCAAGGGAGATTTTCATGAGAACAAAGCAAAGCAAGCAGCAAATGCTACAAGTAGCTTATTTCCATCTGCTTGAGGGCAAGTGATTCTTTCTAGCTACTGTATTCAGGTATTGGAACAGTGAGTGCACATAGTAAGTGCTCATTAAATATTGACTATTATTATCTGATGAACAGGTACTGCATAATCCATTTGCTCCTGCGTTTGAATTCGATTATTAATGGCAGCATCTGTTGAGTGTGTATCTGTGTGTGTGTGTGTGTGTGTGTGTGTGTGTGTATTAGGGGAATTTGTGTGTTTAAGAAAAGTCTTCTTCTTAGGACTTGTTATTGGTTGTTAAGGAAAGCACCTGACAACAGTTGAGCCCTGCAGATTAATTATTGATGCTGACTCTTCAATAAATGTAGCAATGTTTTCTGGAACTATTAAGATTTCCACGATAAAACCTGCAGATACAAATTTTAGGTTATGTCTTTCAGAGTTTGTGTCTACTATTCCATGAGGTATAGATTTTATCAAATCATACATTTTCTTTCTTCCTTTCTTCCTTTTTTTTTTTTTTTTTTTTTTTTTTTTTTTTCTTTTTTTTTTTTTTTTTTTTTTTTTTTTTGCAGGGTCATGCTCTATTACCCAAGCTGGAATGCAGTGATGCAATCTTGGCTCACTGAAACTTCCACCTCCCGGGTTCAAGCGATTCTCCTGCCTCAGCCTCCCAAGTAGCTGGGATTTCAGGTGTATGCCACCACACCCGGCTGATTTTTGTATTTATGGTAGAGATGGGGTTTCACTATGTTGACCAGGCTAGTCTCAAGCTCCTGACTTCAAGTGATCCACCTGCCTTGGCCTCCCAAAGTGCTGGGATTACAGGCGTGAGCCACTGTGCCCGGCCAAAATCATACATTTTCTGCTTCTTATTTGGCACATGTGGCAGGTTGGATCCGTTTTAGCAGTATAGAGATATTCTTTGTTTCCTATTAAATAACTTCAATAAACAGAAAAGTTTGAGCATGAGGACTAACAACATTATTTATGATTTTTTTTTTTGAGACAGCATTTCTCTCTTGTTGCCCAAGCTACAGTACAGTGGCACAATCTCGGCTCACCACAATCTCCACTTCCGGGGTTCAAGTGATTCTCCTGCTTCTGACTCCCGAGTAGCTGGGATCACAGGTGTGTGCCACCATGCCCGGCTAATTTAGTACTTTTAGTAGAGACCGGGTTTTCCATGTTGGTCAGGCTGATCTCGAACTCCCAGCCTCAGGTGATCCACTCACCTTGACCTCCCAAAGTGCTAGGATTACAGGCATGAGCTACTGCGCCCAGCCTATTTATGGTTTTTTTAAAATACAGGGACAGGATCTTGCCCTGTTGCCCAGGCAGGAGTACAGTAGTGTGATCATAGCTCACTGCAGCCTCAAATTTCTGGCCTCAAGTGATCCTTCCACCTTGGCCTCCCAAAGCACTGGCATTATGGGTGTGAGTCCTTTGCTCAGGTATTTCTTATTTTTAAACATAATTCTCATTTATGCCCAAGGTCACACATCAGAGTTATATGCACACACTCACACAGCTTAAGGAAAGACTATCTTGCTTTCTATCACATTTCTGGCTTCATAAATAACATAATTTTAATAACAGAATATACCATTTTATTGCAAATCAAGTTATGAGAAATAGCATTCTTACCCTGTTTAATATGAATAAAATTAATTAAATCAGATCTATATCAATGTAAACTTGACTGCTCTTTAGTAATCTATCTTATGTGATGCATGCAAATTTATTCTCAGTGGTTTTTATAATATTCTTCAAAATGAATATTGACACAAATTTAACAATAAAGTCATACTTTTAATGACAAGAAATATATCTAATTTGGCTGATTGACTTGAAAATTAGGTTATATGATGAAACATTTTTCATCAGTTGAATGAGCCAAATCAGTAGCTCCAAGATTTTGACAAAATTTTATTTAAGGTCCACAAGATAAAAGCATTAATGTTAGTTCTATTACAAAAGATGTGTAAGTAAAAATTTTTTATTCTCTCAATTTGTTCTGAGACAGATTTAATAATATGCCTCTAAGTGTAAGGATAGGAGGTAAAATAATATTTATTTAAAAGTCTTGGCCTTTTTAGTGTACTTCAAAAAATGAGACATTAAACAATAAACCCGTTCTCAAGTTGAATGGTTTCTAATTATTTGCTTTTGACAAAACTGTAGGGAGACGTAACCAAAGCGATAGATCCTTAAGATTTATTTATTTATTTTATGTTTTGGACATGCCATCTAAAAGGAGTTCAAAGAATTGTTTGCCAGTGCTTTAAGAAAATTATTTCCCTTCTTATCTACTTTTTTACGTGTGTGTGTGCGTGTGTGTGTGTGTGTGTGTGTGTGTGTGTGTTTCAGATTCTTGCTCTGTCACGCAGGCTGGCTGGAGTGCAGTGGTGCCATCTCAGTTCACTGCAACCTCCGCCTCCCGGGTTCAAACAATTTTCATGCCTCAGCCTCCCAAGTAGCTGGGATTACAGGCAAACACCATCCCGCCCAGCTAATTTATTTTTATTTTTATTTTATTTTTTGAGATGGAGTCTCACTCTAACGCCCAGGCTGGAGTGTAGCGGCATGATCTCAGCTCATTGTAACCTCCGCTTCCTGGGTTCAAGTGATTCTTCTGCCTCAGTCTCCCAGGTAGCTGGGATTACAGGCATGTACCACCACATCCAGCTAATTTTTTTGTATTTTTACTAGAGACAGGTTTTCACCATGTTGGCCAGGCTGGTCTTGAACTCCTGACCTGAGGTGATCTGCCCACCTCGGCCTTCCAAAGTGCTGGGATTATAGATATGAGCCACCACGCCCCGCCCCCACCTACTTATTTATGGGAAGAAACGTTCTCTGTGTTCACATCTATAAAAAAGAAAAGAAGGAATAGAAATGGTTCTAGACCTCATCTCTTCCCAGTAGTATGTAATATTTGTGAGTATATGAACTTGCTGGCAGTAAGTATCTCCATCCATCTAATTGAGATGTATTAAAATTACTTTAAAATTATAATCATACATCAAAGTTAAAATATATTTGTGTTGTTTTGTTCAGTTGTATACTACTAATAACTTGCGATACTTACATCTAGAAGGTTTTTTTCTTTTACATTTAGAGCCTAGTAGTCAGAGGAAAAACAACTGTACTCACATATGTGTTACAGAGTACAAAAAGATGCTCAAAAAAAGACTTTAACACATAGAAACACATTATAATAAAATTCTGAGGTGAAAGAAAAGCAGAAATAGAGGTTCAAAGAGATACAATAATAATGTTAGATTTCTGATTGTAAAAGAAAAGCTTGTTTGTGGGTTTTTTCTTTTTTTTTTTTTTTTTGAGACAGGGTCTCACTCTGTTGCTCAGCCTGGAATGCAGCGATGCAAGGCCAGGCTCAAGTAATCCTCTCACCTCAGCCTCCTGCGTAGCTGGGACTACAGGTATGCAACACCACACACAGCCAATTTTTTGTGTGTTTTGTAGAGATGGAGTTTTGCCATGTTGCCCAGGCTGGTTTTGAACCCCTGGGTTCAAGCAATCTTCCCGCCTCAGCCTCCCAAAACGGTGAAATTACAGGTGTGGACCACTGTGCCAGGCCTCATTTGTGTATTTTTTAAAACGGGTGATAGTGGGGAGGCAAATTTCTGGGATATTGCATGGATAATAAAGTCATTTAAAACAATGACGCAGCTGTTTTATTTTCAAGTATAAATTTGTATAATACATTGAGCATCTTTTGCAATCATTTAATCTTAAATATAAATAGTAAATTAAAGTTCAGGTAAATTAGAAACATATAAAGAAGGATGGTTTTCAGACTTCTTTTTTAGTGAGTATGAGAGTGAACATTTTTGAATCGCACTGACTTAGTTTCTGAGAGTGGACCTCAGCAGGTCTGTGAAAGCAAATGGCCAAGCCTTGACCTGTGGCTCTCAGCACCTCACTGCCAGGGGCTGCTCAACCCTGGCCTCAGGGGATCTCTCTCAGCCACCGCAAGAAAGAGAGTGGTTGGGTCCACAGAGCACAGTCAGGCAACACTGCCCTTCAGACTAGTTTGCTCGATTCCATTAAACATGGCTCTTTTCTCAAAGTGTATTTACCAAACACCATACAGGTATTGAGCGACTTACCACCTATGCAACTGACGACCATTCGACTTTACGACCCCAATCGCTAGCCACGACTGCTCCGCGTCTGGCAGCGCAAACATGGCCCAGCTGGGCGTACGACAGTGCGGACCAGCTTCCGGCAGCACTACCATCTCCACGTGCACCATTTCAACTGTACCTGTATAGTATTCACTGTGTACCTGGCACTGTTCCAATTGCCTTACAAATATTAACTTATTTAAGCATCATAAAAAACCCTATGAGTTAAGTAACAATGTTATCCCCACTTAACAGATGAGGAAATTGAGGCATAGTGAGATTAAGTAACTTGCTAAAGGTCGCACAGATAATAAATGGTAGAACCAGGACTTCTTATACATTGGTCTCTTTTTAAAAAGGGGAGCAGAAAGAAGTTATTGTAGTCTCTATATTTAAGTAGATGCTCATCAGAATTCTTTTTTTTTTCTTTTTTGAGACAGAGTCTCACTCTGTTGCCAGGTGCCAGGCTAGAGTGCAGTGGTGCAATCTCGGCTCACTGCAACCTCTGCTTCCCGGGTTCAGGCAATTCTCCTGCCTCAGCCTCCCAAGTAGCTGGGAACACAGGTGAGAGCCACCATGATCAGCTAATTTTTGTATTTTTTAAGTAGAGAACCATGGTCTTGATCTCTTGACCTTGTGATCTGCCCACCTCAGCCTCCCAAAGTGCTGGGATTACAGGCGTGAGCCATTGCGCCCAGCCAGAATTATTTGTCTCCAGTCCTATTTCTTTCTTTCTTTTTCTTTTCTTTCTTTCTTTCTTTTTTTCTTCCTGAGGCAGTTTTGCTCTTGTCGCCCAGGCTGGAGTGCAATGGTGCCATCTCGGCTCACTGCAACCTCTGCCTCTCGGGTTCAAGTGATTCTCCTGCCTCAGCCTCCTGAGTAGCTGGGATTACAGGCATGTGCCACCTGGCCCAGCTAATTTTGTATTTTTAGTAGAGATGGGATATCACCATGTTGGCCAGGCTTATCTTGAACTCCTGGCCTCAGTTGATCTGCCGTCTCAGCCTCCCAAGGTGCTGGGATTACCACCGCAACCAGCCCCAGTCCTGTTTCTATACCCAACCTTTGCCTGGCTTACAAATAGACTGGATTTACCTGTGGGGATCCCAGGAATCTAGTACAGAATTAAGAGGCATTGGGATTGAATCTCAGTGGCCTGGTTACTGACGCTGGCACTCACAGCCTATGAATCACCATACAAATGTCTTATTCAGAAGCTGAGGTGGAGACGGAGGCTGAGGTGGAGACGGAGGGAGGCTGGATAATTAGTATTGCAGGTCACTAGTGAAAGGCCTCAGAAAGCATCAAACCGTCCCAAGAAATTATTTTTCCTGGCCTTCTCCATACAACCTCGTAATTCCAATTTCAGATGTTTGGAGTGGGCAAAATGCTCTTACGATTTCCTTTGCAGCAATGAGGAAAGCACATTACCCTGACAGCGGTGCTGAGAAGAGAAACCATTTTTTCTTCTGTCTGCTGCCTCTGTCTTCCCAACAGCTTCCATTAAATTTGCCATTTGACACAGGTAGAGTGTGGCAAAAGACACAGCAAGAACTTTGAGAGTGAAAAATACCTTAAGAAGTGTGCCACTAAAGAAAAACCACTTTAAAAAATACAAGCCCTTCTTCAAAACACCAATTCCTCCTTCCTGCAAAACAACGTAACTATCCTTTTTTATTTTTGGAGACAGAATCTCACTCTACCCCCTAGGCTGGAGTGCAGTGGCGTGATCCCGGCTCACTGCAACCTCTGCCTCCCCCGTTCAAGCGATTCTCCTGCCTCAGCCTCCCAAGTAGCTGGGTTTATGGCAGATGCCGGCTAATTTTTGTATTTTTAGTAGAGACAGGGCTTCACCATGTTGGCCAGGCTAGTCTCAAACTCCTGATCTCAGGTGATCTGTCCGTCTTGGCCTCCCAGTGTGCTGGGGCTACAGGTGTGAGCCACCACGCCCAGCCCAACGTAACTATCTTTTTAAAAAGTTCTTCATTTATAGACCGATTAGTATCTATTACTGTACCTTCTGACAAACTATACTTCTGGGCAACTCTGGGACGTTTTCATGTCCTTGGTATTGCGTAGGATACTTTGGAGCTCGGAGCCAGTCCCACATCCTGGACTTGGCCTCCCACCCCAGTCCGTTACGGGGATTGACAAAGATCATCTCCTTTCACCAAAACTTGACTCAGCCTCCCCTGAGTCCTCTGCCTGACTGGTCCTGAGGTCCCGACCTTGGGCCTTTCTTTCTGTCCTTGTAGAATCCAGTTTGAGCAAGAATCCTACTAAATCAGTCAAGCAAAGTGCCCCACCCTTGGTATCTGGTCACCTGCCGTGATAGCTTATCACCCTGGCCTGCCTTCAGCAAAAATCCTACCAAGACAGGAACTCTCCATCCTTGATATTTTGTTTTAGTAATTTTTCATCCACTGCCCCCGCCCTGCTCCTTGGCTGTCAGTCCCTGCTTGCTGCTACAGTCAGAGTTGAGTCCAATTCTCTCCCCTGGTGCTACTCCATTGCAGTGATCCCTGTACCTAAGGCCATGGGCCCCTTGAATAGTCCACAGTACTGTCTTTAACAAGTGTTTGGATACATTTCTTCTTCTTCTTCTTCTTTTTGAGATGAAGTCTCACATTGTCACTCAAGCTGGAGAGCTGTGGCATGATCTCGGACTGCAACCTCTGCCTCCCAGGTTCAAATGATTCTCCTGCCTCAGACTCCCAAGTAGCTGGGACTACAGGCACCTGCCACCATGCTTGGCTAATATTTCTTTTTTTTTTTTTTTTGAGATGGAGTCTCGCTCTGTTGCCTAGGCTGGAGTGCAGTGGCACGATCTTGGCACACTGCAACCTCCACCTCCGGAGTTCAAGAGATTCTCATGCCTCAGTTATTTAAGTTGCTGGGACTACAGGCATATGCCACCTTAACTGGCTAATTTTTTGTATTTTTAGTAGAGATGGGGGTTTCACCATGTTGGCCAGGCTGGTCTCGAACTCCTGACCTTCAAGTGATCTGCCCGCCTCAGCCTCCCAAAGTGCTGGGATTACAGGTGTGAGCCACTGCGCCCTCCTACATCTTTTCTTTAACAGGACAGACCACACAGGCTATTATCAATCCTGGTAAGAAGGCTGCTGGGATCAGCCAGGTCCTAGCCCGCCACTAACCAGACTTACATGTTTTAGAAAGATTTTCCAGCACTTCAGTTTTACTGCAAAAGATTAAATTGCCTTCTAGTTGTCTGCATTGGGAACATCAAAAGAACTGGAGTGAAAAACACACTGGCTTTAGGGGAGCTGTGCCAGTTTCAGGCCCTACCAGTGGCATTGGACAGCCCTGTCTGTGAGTGATGGGACAGGTGGTTATTAACAAGAATGAACGATTATTAACAAGAATGTGTGCTCCAACTCTTCCCTGTTCTCTGCCTTGCAAAAAGGAATTGAATATGGTCACACACCGCATCACAGAGTTTCTGTGTATGATAGGCCACATATATGAGGGTGGTCTTATAAAATCATAACGGAGCTGAAAAGTTGCTATCGCCTAGTGACATTGCAGTGCAATGCGTTACTTACATGTTTATGAGTAATGCATTGATGATTGGTGATGCTGATGTAAACAAACTTTCTGCTCTGCCAGTCCTATAAAAATCTACACATACAATATGCCATATGTACAGTACATAATACTTGATAATAATAAATTGACTGTGTTACTGGTTTCTGTATTTACTATACCACATTTTTATTGTTATGTTAGAGTGTACTCCAGCTTATGTACAAAGAAAAGTTAACTGTAAAGCAGCCTCAGGCAGGTCCTTCAGGAGGTGCCCAGAAGAAGGTATTGTTGTCATAGGGGATGACAACTCCATGCATGGCATTGCCCCAAAGACGTTCCAGTGGGATGAGCTGTGGAAGGAGAAGACGGTGATGATCCTGACCCCGTGGAGGTCTACGCTAACGTGTATGTGTGTCTTAGCTTTTAACCAAGAGTAGGCTGGGTGGTAGCTCACACCAGTAATCCCAGGACTTTAGGAGGCTGAGGCAGGAGGATCGCTTGAGCTCAGGTGGTCAAGTCCAGTCTAGGCAACATGAGACCCTCATCTCTACAAAAAATTTAAAAATTAGCCAGATGTGGTGGGGCACGCCTATAGTCCAAGCTATTTAGGAGGCTGGGACAGGGGGATTGCTTGAACCCAAGAGGTTGAGGCAGAAATGAGCCGTGATTTGACCACTGCTCTCCAGCCTGGGTGACAGAGCAAGATCCTGTCTCAGGAAAAAAAGTAAAAAAGTTTAAAAAGTAAAACAGATTTTAAAAATGTTAAAAAGATTTTAGAATAAGGGTATAAGGAAAATATTTTTATACAGCTATACAGTATGTGTTTACTGTTTTGTTTTGGTTTGGGTTTTTTTGAGACAGAGTCTTGCCCTTTTGCCAGGCGCCAAGCTGGGGTGCACTGGCACAACCTTGGTTCACCGCAACCTCCACCTCTCGGGTTCAAGCAATTCTCCTGCCTCAGCCTCCCGAGTAGCTGGGACTACAGGCGTGCACCAACACGCCCAGCTAATTTTTGTATTTTAGTAGAGATGGGGTTTCACCATGTTGGCCAGGATGGTCTCGACCTCTTGACTTTGTGATCCACCCACCTCAGCCTCCCAAAGTGCTGGGATTACAGGTGTGAGCCACTGCACCTGGCACAATGTGTTTTAAGCTAAATGTTATTATGAAAGAGTCAAAAAGTTTTAAAAGATCAACAAGTTTAACATGTAAAAAAGCTACAGTAAGCTAAAGTTAATGGATCATTGAAAAAAGAACAAAAATTTAAATAAATGTAGTGTAGCCTTACTTACAGCATTTATAAAGTCTGCAGTAGTGTACAGTAATGTCCTAGGCCTTCACATTCACTCACCACTCACTCACTCAGAGCAACTTACAGTCCTGTGAGCTCCATTCACGGTAAGTACCTTATGCAAGTATTCCATTTTTTATCTTTTAGACCATATTTTTACCGTATATATTCTATGTTTAGATACACACACGCTTCCCAATGTGTTCCAATTGCCTATAGTGCTCAGTACAGTCACACACTATACTGGTTTGCAGCCTAGAAATTGGTGTGTAGCCTATTACTGAGCCATATAGCCTAGACGGGTGGTAGGTTGTACTATCTAGATTTGTGTAGGTACACTCTGCGATGTTCACACAAGAATGAAATTGCCTAGCAGTGCATTTCTTAGAACATGTCCCCATTGTTAAGGGACACATGACTATAATAAAAAGTTGAAGGCTGGGCGCTGTGGCTCATGCCTGTAATCCAGCACTTCAGGAGGCTGAGGCAGACAGATCACAAGATCAGGAGTTTGAGACCAGCCTGGCCAGTAGGGTGAAATACCATCTCTACTAAAAATACAAAAAATTAGCTGGGCATGGTGGCACATGCCTGTAGTCCCAGCTACTCAGGAGGCTAAGGCAGGAGAAGTGCTTAAACCTAGCAGGCGGAGATTGCAGGGAGCCAAGATAGTGCTACTGCACCTCCAGCCTGGGCGACAGAGCAAGACTCTGTCTCAGTGAAATAAAATAAAAATATAAAAATAAAAAGTTGAGACACTGAAGGGAAGGGAAGGGAGAGAGGATATTCTTTGTGGCCTAAGAATATATAGAGAGGGATGAAGCCTATCGCATTAGATAGGGGAGAATTTAGGAGCTATGTGTTGCTGGAGTGTTCTGCATTCGATCTTCTTTAATCTTGTTTTGAAAGATGTAAATCAGAGATTAAAGTATTTTTTTTTTAATTTCCTTTGATTGTTTAGATGTGCTTCTTTGAAGGTAAACTTGCACTGATACTTGATGGGTCACACAGACTTACAGTGAAAAAGAGCTTCAGGAAAATCAGAAGAGAAATCTGAGCAATAATTAAAAACGCATTGTATTAGTCTGTTCTCACACTGCTAATAAAGACATATCTGAGTCTGGGTAATTTATAAAGAAAAGAGGTTTAATGGACTCACAGTTCCATGTGGCTAGGGAGGCCTCACAATCATGGCAGAAGTCAAAGGAAGAGCAAAAGGACACCTTACATGGCGGCAGGCAGGAGGGAGTTTAGAAACTGCCCTTTCTAATACCATCAGATCGCCTGGGACTTATTCACCACCACAAGAACAGCTTGGGAAAGACCTGCTCCCATGATTCAATTACCTTGCTTTCCTGACCCATGTAAATCCCCGGTCTACATTGCCCTTCATAATGGCTGTGTAGCATTTTCTAGTTATTACAACTATTTGTGAACACATCTATTCTCCTTAACTATTAATAATGTAAGCAATTTGAGGGTAGGACATACTATATTTTACCTTTTAACCCTTAGGGTCACAATGCCATAGTTTGAATGTTTGTGTCCTTCCCCCACCGCCCAAATTCATGCATTGAAATCTTAATTCCCAAGGTATTGGGAGATGAAGCCTTTGGGAGGTGATTAGGTCACAAGGGTGGGGCCCTTATGAATGGGGTTAGCGTCCTTATAAAAGAGGCCCCAGAGAGACCTCTCACCCCTTCCAACTTGTGAGGACACAGGTAGAAGACACCATCTATGAACCAGGAAGTGGGCGCTCATCAGGCACCGAATCTGCTGACATCCTGATTTTAGACTTTCCAGCCTCCAGAATTATGAGGTATAAATTTTGGTTGTTTATAAACACTCAGTTTATGGTATTTTGTTATAACAGCTCCAACAGACTGAGGAGCCCTCAGGGTCTCCTACTTTTTTTCTTTCTTTCTTTCTAACCTTTATTTTAGTTTCAAGGGTACATGTGTCAGTTTGTTATATAGGTAAACTCATGTCACAGGGGTTTGTTGTTCAGGTTATTTTGTCACCCAGGTACTAAGCCTAGTAGTACTCAAGAGTTACTTTCCCCAATCCTCTCCTTCCTCCCACCCTCCACCCTCAAGTGTCTGTTGTTCCTTTCCTTGTGTCCATGAGTTCTCATCATTTAGCTCCCACTTATAAGTCAGAACATGCAGTATTTGGTTTTCTGTTCCTGTGCTAGTTTGCTAAGGAAAATTGCCTGCAGTTCCATCCACATTCCTGCAAAAGACAGGATCTCATCCTTTTCATGGCTGCATCATATTCCATGCTGTAGATGTACCACATTTTCCTTATCAAATCTGTAATTAATGGGCATTTAGGTTGATTCCATGTCTTTGCTATTATGAATAGGGGTGATAGTGAATAGTGCTGCAATAAACATTTGTGTGCATGTGTGTTTATGATAGAATGATTTATTAATATATTCCTTTGGCTATATACCCAGAAATGGTATTGCTGGGTAGAATGGCATTTCTGCTTTTAGCCCTTTGAGAAATCGCCACGCTGCTTTCCACAACAGTTGAACTAATTTACACTCCCCCTAAGAATGTGGACTGTTCCCTTTTCTCCACAACGTTGCCAGCATCTGTTATTTTTTGACTTTTTAATAATAGCTATTCTGACTGGTGTGAGATGGTAACTCACTGTGGTTTTGATTTGCATTTCTCTAATGATCAGTGATATTGAGCATTTTTTCATATGCTTGTTGTCCTACTTTCTAAGATCACACTAAGTACGTTACATAAATACTTGCATGAATGGACTCATTGCATTGGTGTGATCTCAGCTCACTGCAACCTCTGCCTCCTGGGCTTAAGTAGTCCTCCCATCTCAGCCTCCCAAGAAGCTGGGACCACAGGTATGTACCACCACACCTGGCTAATTAAAACAATTCTCTTTTGTACAGACAGGGACTTGCTACTGGCTTCAAGCGATTCACCTAGGCCTCATATTTGTATTACTCTAGGAATGCATGGGGGGTTCTGGAGTCCACCAGACCCCTGGACCTCTTCTCTCCCTTGCAGTGGCTCTGACAGCTGGGTCCACAGTGGGGCTCCATCCGCATTA